CCAATTTGAATATTCTCATTGACAAAATGCATGGTGATTAAACCTTTCTTTGAGAATCCTCTATCATCCAGCAACTTATTTGTCCATTCTCGTGTGATATATACCATGAAATGGGCCAATTCACAACAGTTTTCATCATTCATGACACAATGCTTAAAAGAATGTCTAATCTAATTTATCTGTTTTTGTAGGATTCAACTCAGAGCTGATAGTGCAGAACATCTTTCATACAGACTTCCCTCCCCTTGACTTAGTACTCATGGAAAACATTTGTTGCAGGTAAATATAACAGAATTCCAATTTGGCCTTACTCTGGCCAGGACATCATCATCATCATCATCATTACCACCATCATCATCACCATCATCATCATCATCATCATCATTACTCTGGCCAGGACATTAGTTTTAAATTTGTTCTATGATGACCTCCAATCATCATCATCATCATCTTCTTCTTCATCATCATCATATTCATCTTCGATTCCCCACATGGATACAATATGTGAAGCCCATTTCTGGTGTCCCCCGCCGTGATATTGCTGGAATATTTCTAAAAGCGGCGTAAAACCAGACTCACTCACTCACCCACTCATCATATTCATTAACATCATGTGCATACTTATACAGCATGCTCAAAGCACTACGTTTACTTGTCAATGGATCTGTGTACACTCCTATTCTCCTGTTCTCTTTTCATTCTCAGCTCCGTGGGGAGTATAAAACCTAAACTGACTGTGAGCTAAAGGTTAACAGTTACATTACCATCTCATCCTTCCATGTACCCATTCACTGCTGGGGGAACACCGTCACATAATATACCAAATCATTTTCTTAAGAAGACACCTGATCTATGTACATCAGTGTGAGTAGGGAGTGATTGGTTAGAACCTTTCAGGGGTCAAGCTGCGACAAGCGGATGTGGCATTTTGATAGGTTGTTGGTGTCACAATCACTGCTCATGCTATTAACCACTGGTTTGATTTGATTAACTACACAATATTACCAGAATATTGTTAACTATGACAAAAGAACATTCACTTACTCAAAGACAAAGACTTTCTGAGACAATTTGAGTCTTTCATATCAATATAGTTCACCTCAGTGAATCTGTCATGACAATAGAACAATGAAAATACTTGGGTGTACATTAACTCATTATAAGTAGGACGCTCAGATTATCAACCACGTTTTTTTCTAACAGACATGTCCCCTCAAGGCTGTGAATGACATTTTACAACACATCCACTCATGCACCAAGTAGGTTTTGAGATAGCATGTAAATAAAATATATGACAAAATTAAGAAATATGAAATTTATTCCTTCACAGTACATATTTGTGGCATGTGACAGATCAACAATATTCATGACTAGAGAGTAACAGGATTTGACAAATCACATTTTCAGAAATAAATAACCAGCTTATATATATACACATCTCTGATGTAGACGAATACAATTGTGCCATGCCTACAGCAAGTTGTAAGGGTAATAGTATATGTTTGCTTGGTTACTGAGATCATGATGTTTATTTACACACTTAGAATACTAGCTCTTTCACTGGCGTAACAGAAGGGATACTAAACAAACACTGGTTATCTCAATGGTATGACATCATGTTTCAGAAAATTTCAAATTTTGTATTTTTGTTAGTATTGGTGTTGAACACAAACCATTGAATTTCACAGCTCCAATTACCCATGGATTTGTCACAATCATGTATTTATTGTCAGTGTGGTTTGTTTTAAACCGTTTCATTCAAATTTACAACAGTCAAGTGGCGCGTGGTCCTGTGCACAGAGCTCAGGTCACGAATCAGTTGTAGTTAAGCAACGTCGAGCTCGGACAATCCTTGGATGGGTGATCGTGTTTGGCAGCTTGACTCCTGAGAGTTTCTAAGACTTCAGTCCTGCCCCACAACGAAGCACATGTGATACATGTGGTCTCACCTTAGGCAAGTGAGTTTGTTCAAATTGCCTCTGTTCACCCAGCAGAAAATGGGTACCCGGTTGGATAAAGTCATGTGACTATAACCTTCTAGTGCCTAACAGGCAGCTTGGGTTATCCGGGGTAATAAGAATCAGATTCTGATTAAGCGCCGCGAGCAATCACTTGGTGTTTGGAGACTGTGCGCTATAGAAGATGACTTATTATTATTATTATTATCTGTTCACTCTTTGCTTATCTCAGTTATCTATATTATGGATACGACTTAACTTCGGCACTAACTATATGTGATCTAAATTAGAAGAAAATGCAGTTATCCTGTGTAGTCTATGTGCAGTGTTTGATGACAGGTTTGATCATTAAGTTTGATGATATCAAACTGAGTAATCAGGACAATGAAGTTTGATGTCTAAGAGTATCAGCTACAAGGGCACGAGTAATGATCACAATCTATCATCATTAACAGGCTGTTTAATGAATGAATGAGTTTAGTTTTACTCCGCTTTTAGCAATATTCCAGCAATATCACGGCGGGGGACATCAGAAATGGGCTTCACACATTGTACCCATGTGGGGAATCGAAGCCAGGTCTTCGGCGTGACAAGCGAACGCTTTAACCATTCGGCTACCCCACCGCCCCCAACAGGCTGTTTAACTGCTTGAAACTAAACTAGTGTTATCAGGGCTGGACAATGACTCAATCACTTTGGTACTTTAAATGAATAATGTAAAAAACAAAAATATTGGTGACAATATTTGTCTTTTCTTTTTGTAGAGAGACGTTATCAGGGTGCTCTTGAGAAAGGTTCTGGATAAGATGGGATATAAATCTATCAATAACCAGCTGGATGCTAAACAAGAAAAAGTCATTGGTCATATCAATGGTATGACATCATGTTTCAAAAAAGTAAAAATTTTGTATTTTGTTAGTCCTGAAATTGTACCCAAATTGTTGATTCTCAAAGCTCAAATTTAATGTATTAAATGTATGGAATGTATTTTATACAAATTTTCTCAGATTGTTTTAGTATCAGATTATTGCAGTCATTGGTCTTAGCCCATGTTTGAAGGGCTTTATCATCATATTTCATGTTTTTTCAAGTTACACAAATACAGTATAGCACTAGAAGATGTAGAACAATGTGCCGACACAATGAATGAAACTGTACAGTGGACACACACAATATGACAATGTGGAAATAGCACAACAGTAAACACTGATAGAATCAACAAGATAAAGCCAAAGAATTATACACTTAATTTGTTGAATATAAACCATGTAACAGATACAGCTCATATAAATATATACATCGCACCAGCATCTCAGAACAAAATAAAAATAGAACCGTTCAGATCAATGTTATCTGAACTGTATGTTCTAACACAGCTGTTAAAGAGTATATGTACATATTGGACACAAGATACAGGTATAGGGCTAGATATGGTTGCATTTGTCAATGTGTTACACTTCCCATGCTAATTAGATACCTCATGCTGCTTCCCTAAAGAGGTATTTCAAATGTTAAAAATGTATCTAAAATCAGCTGTTCTTACCAAATTTCAGGAAATACTAATTTCATATGGTTTGTATTTTCATAAGATGATTGAAAACTATTTTTCAGCATTAACTGCTATGTTACTTACAATGACAGTTGTTGTTTGGGAACCTGCATAAGATGGTCATCCTGGACTTAAAAAAATGAGACATGACAGTACATGATTTCTATAATATGACATAGCAGCATGAGGTCTAGACTTAAACACATTGTTAGACTAACCCAACAATTGAAATGAAACATTACTTTTATAGCTATACCTCACAAGTACTTGAAAAAAGCATATTTCATATTTACTTATTAAAAACCTCTATCATAGGATTCATATTAACAAATATGATTGTTAACAATAGGCATTTCAACAAGTATTCATGATGCAGACTCAGGTAGAAAATACCTTAAATGTTCTACAAGAAGTCCATTACACTCTTATTCTGTACAAAGTGACGGGCAATCCACTTCAAAGGATGTCAAAATAGTTCCCTGATTTGACTTGAGGAGGATGAAAGGTTGACTTTATGAGGGGGATTCTTCCGTAACAGGCCAACCATTATTTTTTTAAGGGGGCTGCGATTTTTGCCTGCAAGAGACTATTTTTTAAATGCTTAAAAACATTCAAAAAATAATTCTGAAACAAGTTGCCAACAATTGTTTTGGAAACAGCATGAAATTAGTTTTAGAACATCCAGCATGTTCAGTGAACATTTTTTTTTTAGGGTAAAACCTTCCGTCATATAATTATTTCCAGGCTTTGAAATAGGTATATTTATACTTTTTAAATCCCAGGCCCCAAACTTATTTCAGCCAGATTCCTGAGACCTCTTTATTCGTTTACCTTGACATGAAAACAAAGACTTAAACAATGTCTGTCAGCCTAAATGTCTAGTTACCGGAATATTAATGTTCTCCAAGACAGTTAAACAACAATACAACTACCATGTACCCATAATTGGTTGGACAGAAATAATGAAGATGTTTCATGAGATTGTATTTGCCCTCAGTCTATCTGAGACCTTAGAACACAACATACAGTATAATTCATAATTCACCCTGTAAATACAAATAAATATATATTTCACTGTACAACACATCTGTAACAATTCAAATCTGCTACACAGCTTTAAACAGAATTTCATGTTTGCATGCCAATTTTGTAACTTTATTTAAAAATTGAATCCCGAATGAGATTTATACAAGATCATCCAAGGTTTCCAAGCTGGAGAACCTTCTAGCACCAGTAGAGACAGAAACTGGTTTGAGAAGGATATGAAATCAGAGACCATATAATAAGCCTTTTCGTGTGACCCACCTACTATTTCTTTCATATGAATAAACAAGTATAATTTGATGCCGGTTTTGCAACATTCCAGAAAATCATAGCAGGGCTCACACTACCCTGTCTCATAGTCCCTGAACCACATTATTTTCCCTTCTACCATGCCTTTTCTGCAATGCTAAAGCTCTAAATGAAGCAAGTCTAGATTTCCACAGGTTCATCAATGGGGCTCCTTTTTCAATTTAAATGGAATTCCTTGTTTCTGTCAAAATTGTATATATTCAGAAACTAAGCATCAGTCTAGGGTCACACTTAGGTTACTTTTTTAGTGGATGAAACGGGAGTTAAACCTGGGCCTCAGATCAGCCGATGTTTTAACGACTAGGTTACCTCACAGACTCAGATAAAATAGAAACTGCAACATCATTTATACCCTTGACCTTATTGTGGAACCTTTGATGACCAGGGTCTACTTGCACCAAACCAATCTTAGCGCTCCACTAAATGTAACTCCCATACTCTCACATATGCTTAAGACGGTCTTAGCGCTAAGATCACTTTGTGCAAGTGGGCCCTGAGTGCGCCCCTCTTACACCAAGGTGTGTCAGCTGTGTTGATGCAGGCGGGAAGCCTGAAGTGATGTCGGCCTCGGTTGTTTACTGCTTATGTGAGATCAATGAGCACTGGTAAACTCAAACCACCCAGTTATCTCCTTATCATAATCATTGTAAGTAAATTTCAAAATTACTCAGTCCCAGTATGAATACTGAGATTAAGAAATGTACCAGCTGATGTAGTATTGTGTAACAGATTTGAAAACGTTGTCCATCTTTATAGTCAGTAGACACAGCCCTCCATATACGAGCCGGGGCCGTACATTCGCTGTACTTCTTGCATATATTGTAGACGATGTTGCTCCGCTGTCATGGGACTGTTTGTATGCTGGGACGGCATGTTGAAGCCACGCATACTGTGGGACATGTGAGGATTGTGGGCATGTGGGGGTGTCGTCGTTAATGCCAGCGGCTGATTATCTAGCTGCTGATTGGATGATTTTAAAAAGTCCTCTTTGTTTGGTTCGCCTTTCAGGATTGGACGATGGTTATCTGGGAATGCCATTGAAAACAGAGCCTCTGGGTCACAGACAAATTTATACACGTAGAGCTCCCCGGCTACCTTCTGCATGATGCCTTTCTCGTAGTAATATCGCAGAGACCGACTGAGTTTGTCATAGTTCATAGCAGGGCGGTTCTTCTGAATTCCCCATCGTCTTGCCACCTGAAACATGGACAGTATTATGTGCTATTTTATTTGCAGACATAAGAAAGTGAAGATCTTACACAAGGATGGTAAGGGACTTATGTAAATCTCAACCTGGATTCCTCTAGATATATACAGTCAATGCCAGTCTTGATTATCTGATGAAACAGATTCCATTAGGCATAACCGCAAATCACGTGTGAAAATTATAAGAATGGATCTGAGTTATCTGAGCAGCTGCATATCAATGATTCTCTTCAGCACAAGTGTCTCACACCCACCTCTACTTCCCTTTATCAGACTCCTTCATATGACTTTTTGGACCCGTGAAGGTCCGGGTTAGAATATTGATCTTCAGTAACCCATGCTTGTCGTAAGAGGCGACTAACGGGATTGGGTGTTCAGGCTCGCTGACTTGGTTAACACATGTCATCGGTTCCCAATTGCGCAGATCAATGCTCATGCTGTTGATCACTGGATTGTCTGGTCCAGACTCGATTATTTACAGACCGCCACCATATAGCTGGAATATTGCTGAGTGCAGCGTAAAACTAAACTCACTCACGCACTCACATATGACTTTAGCATTGTGCCCAGACTGTACACACACCCCAGTTCAATTTATATGTTTTTGACACAGAGTACATTTCAAAGATACTAATTATTGGAATGCTTTATATTCCTTCAGTGACTGTGGGACTGCAGAGGTGGGTGCCTCTACCCCTTTCATTACACAATGGGCAGTTGGGCAGACTGGTACATAAGTGTTCATTTGTCTAAGCAGAGGTTAAAAATAAAAAAAATGTTAGATGCTGATTTCTGCCATCCCCTGATGTGCTATTACTTGGAAACTACTAAAAGTGGCTCCAAACCATACTTGCTTCCCCCTTCCCCACAGTGCTGTTGCTTGAATACTGCTGCAAGTAGTATCAATTCTCCCAACCATATGTCAAAGTATCTTATCAGGGAACGTGGGTGACCCAGTCATCTCAGCTGCCACAATTCCATGTTTCACACCAGATACCTCCCAGTACACCTTGATTTGGTTTCTAGGTTTGTCTGCACAGTGCAGGGCTTTACTGATGTGGTTAACGTCTCAGACACACGATATAACTGGACCACTTTTCAAAGTGGCGTTAAACCCAACTCACTCACTCATGATACCATAGACTACCAACTCCACATATCACCCTAACTTGAATCGGATGATATCGACTAGATGATAAGGAAGTTCCGCCTTGTTGGCTGACATGCCAATGACTGATTCTCTACTACTCTAGTGTCATGTATAATTTGTAGATATGTTTCTCTGTGAACAAGTCACATGAACTGTCATCCTGACCATCAAAGACACATTCAAGAAATGGATTCTGTATGTTGAAACTTCTGTATCGAAAGGTAATTGAGTACCCACCTCCTCTGGTTCGATGAGTTTAAACTCCAGTCCCCGTCCTGTCCAGGCAATGAAGGTGGAGTTTGACGGGTCATCCAGCAGCGCCACCAGGAACTGCCACAACTGTAACGACCCACGGCGCTGGTATGTGGGCGGGGCACCATCTCTGTGGTGATAGCGCTCAAGATACAGATCCCTGTAAAACTCAGCCTTCATTTCCATACCTGCAAGAAATGTACACTCTGTAATATCTGGTGTAATGAACTGACCCACGTGCAACTATACTCTCAAAAGAAAGACTATGACATGTCATATCATGTATAATTTACCCATTTCATACCTGCAAACAAGACTCTCACTGGTGCACATTTTCTTTTAGGTACATAAATCACTTGTTACCATTACATGCATATTTTTACACAAAAGCAAGATTGCAACCAAGAACCACATAATATCACTAAGCACCACAAGGCAAATAGATGATATCACTAAGCACTATGAAGCACATAAATGATATCACTAAGCACTATGAGACACATAGATGATATCACTAAGCACAATGAGACACATAGATGATATCACTAAGCACTATGAGACACATAGATGATATCACTAAGCACTATGAGACACATAGATGATATCACTAAGCACTATGAGACATAGATATCACTAAGCACTATGAGACACATAGATGATATCACTAAACACAATGAGGCACACAGATGATATCACTAAGCACTGTGAGACACAGATGATATCACTAAACAATGAGGCACACAGATGATATCACTAGCACTATGAGACACATAGATGATATCACTAAGCACAATGGGGCACACAGATGATATCTTTAAGCACAATGAGGCACAGATATCACTAAGCACAATGAGGCCCATAGATGATATCACTAAGCACTATGAGGTCCATAGATGATATCACTAAGCACTATGAGGTCCATAGATGATATCACTAAGCACTATGAGGTCCATAGATGATATCACTAAGCACTATGAGGTCCATAGATGATATCACTAAGCACAATGAGGCAGACAGATGATATCTCTAAGCACAATGAGGCACACAGATATCACTAAGCACAATGAGGCCCATAGATGATATCACTAAGCACTATGAGGCCCATCAGATGATATCACTAAGCACTATGAGGTCCATAGATGATATCACTAAGCACTATGAGGTCCATAGATGATATCACTAAGCACAATGAGGCAGACAGATGATATCTCTAAGCACAATGAGGCACACAGATATCACTAAGCACAATGAGGCCCATAGATGATATCACTAAGCACTATGAGGTACATAGATGATATTGCTTAAAGCACCATGAGACACATAAATGATATCACTAAGCACTATGAGGTACATAGATGATATTGCTTAAAGCACCATGAGACACATAAATGATATCACTAAGCACCATGAGGCACATAGATGATATCACTAAGCACAATGATGCCCACTTTTACTCGATTCATGCACTTATAATTATTTTGTTTATTTTAAACTGAAATATTGATTGGATATATCAACATAGAACCAAAGACATGTATAATATGGTTGAAACCTTGGCTTCACATTTAAAAAACACATAGTCATGATTTCCAAGTTTCTTGGCTTAAGTAATAAAAGCAAAATCCCACACTTGAAAATAAAAAATCTTAAATGTAAACACAGAGTTAATCTTCGAACCAAAATGATAACAACTTCCTTGACTTCAGCCATTGCCCATCTCTTCAAAAATCATAAAATACTACTAAATCCAGATAGTTTCTTCATAGCAAAGTCCCCGATGATAAATTTACACCACAGGTACACAAACCAACAGTGTTGATAAAACCCCATCCATGTCATCGGCTTCAGCAGGGAAGTTTTCAATCAATCATGTCATTTTTTCATTTAAACATCATCTCAGTACTCTGAATGAGAAGCGCTTAAAACCCAAGCCCAGTTGCAGCAAATCTTGAAACTATAGCGCCACTCAATCGAAATCCTTTGTTCGCTGACTCAATACAAAAACCTGTGTTTTTCTATACAGATTGCTCCATCTTGAATAATCAGGTGTTACTACAGTTTCATTTAATGAGATCACGCTAATCTTGACCTGAATACAAGATCAAGTGAATGTGAGAAGCCTCATTCGTGCATCAATCCCGCTATTGCTGTTTCCGTGGTCTCTAAACTGTCGCACATTGACGACAAATAACTTGTTGCTTTGTGGCCTCTCAAAAACAATGACAGTTATAAGATAGACACAGCTAATAAATCTGAACATTCAGTGACAAATGCTGGGTTTTGACACAGTCAGTGAGAGCTCTGCTAACGTTACATCAATTACACTGATATCCTGCCACTGTGAAAGTGTTTGTTGTATTCAAATCAATTGCTGCCCAACGTAAAACAAACGACAATGTTCTTCGTGTTTAAAAAATACATACGAAGATTGTTGTTATATTTTTTACCAAATCTCAGTTCGTATGGTTCCAACCCATACAGAGAAACATAGGCCATGTTCCAGAACTAAGTCCTGATTTTCAGAACATCCCTATGAAAACAACCCAAGTAGAGTTTCAGAGCCTGTAAGAACCTATGCTTCTTATATGAGTTGTCCAAACCACCTCCTTGGTGTACTGGTCAGAGCGTCCGCCCGGAGAGCGGAAGGTCGTGGGTTCGATCCCCGACCGCGTCATACCAAAAGACGTTAAAATATGGTACTTGTTGGTCCCTGCCCCGCTCGGCATTAATGAGTACAACAAGGACTGGTCAACTCGGAGTCAGTATAATGTGTCTGAGTGGGGTATTCATGCTTCACTGCGGCATGGTATCTCAGTGGGCTAGCACTATAAAACCAGCTAAGTCTTGGCTAGTACAAGCAGCCGCACTTACACATACACACGCATGCATGTCGTCATATGAGCGAAATATTCTCAAGTACGACGTAAAACCCAATTTCACCTCACCTCATATGAGTTGTCCAAATGGTTTGGTGGTTAGACTCTGGACCAGACATTCTAGTGATTGATTTTATGGTTGATTTTATTAACAATGTCCACAGTGGCAGGAATGAAGACGAGCTATCAACCAAGTCACCAAGGATGACCATTCCATTAAGTCTCCCTTACAAGAAGCATAGGTTGGACCTATTCTAGCATGGGATTCCAATTTATGATCAGACATATAAGTGAGCACATGTAAGAATGATTTATCTGAACCATCCCGTCAGCTGAAGCATTTCTGACCTTCGGTGGCTCATAACTGCACCATCAACATGGCAACACAGATATAAAGGTCAATGTGGATCATTTGTAGGTAACAACATTTAGTATAAACATGCTTGTAACGATGACAGATATAACATACTGTGTTTTGGCCCCGGCTTTTTGCTGTGTATTGAAGTTAAATATGTACAAGGAACTATGGTTATAATGAACTGAAACTAGAGGTCCCTTTGAGTTCATTGTAACTGTATTTGGGAATTGACTGAACCAGGAAACAGTCTCCAAAATAAAGATACAAACAGATTGTGTCCACATATGTCATCACCATAACTGTTCTCATGGACCGAACTAAAGTGGTCAATGTCTTACAACTTCTATCACTGTGGGCATTATTCCCAAATCAAGCTACAGTGACAAGGAAGCTGAGAAAGATGTTAAACCACAGCCACAAAAGCATTAACAGATTCAGGAACTATGGAATAATATTCACAATTCAGAAGAGTGACAAAGAGGGCATCTTGTTGATGACTGACTGACTGAGTTTGGTTTTACGCCGCTTTTAGCAATATTCCAGCAACATCACGGCGGGGGGACACCAGAAATGGGCTTCACACATTGTACCCATGTGGGGATTTGAACCCGGGTCTTCGGCGTGACGAGCCAACGCTTTAACCACTAGGCTACCCCACCACCCTCTTGTTGATGAGGGCCCAATAACAGGGAGCGTTACAGAATACACTACTCACTGAACTGTCTCTGTACCATGTTCCTTATGATTAACAAATACACATATGCTAATCTAATATGACACTAGACGTGTAGTTTACTCCCTGCAGAGGAGTTACTGCCCTTGGCAAGATTTGGCACACTGATCCTGTGACAAAATCACTAAACTTTCTTTGAAGCCAGAGACACTAAAAAATATTCTGAGCATAAAAAGGAATAATTTATTAGGGAAGATAGCTGTGGGGTGGAGTCTCCACAGGGATCAATCTCGGGTCTGTGACATTTCTGGTTCAGTTATGGGAGATGGGTCTCCAAACTGATTGAAAATGTTAATTGCAAAATATGGTACAAGTGACATTATAATATCTTTATACCAAAACTGTAATGATTGTGGGTTTGTCTACAGAGGAATTTAAAAACTCACTTACTTTTATGGCACATTATGAGTGAATCTATCATCTGGTGATTTCAGATGGATAAACGTATGGAGACAAACTAACATAACATGAGGGTCTGCACCAGGTGAACAATAGGTGAACATGAGGGTCAACACCAGGTGAACAATAGGTGAACATGAGGGCCAACACCAGGCGAACAATAGGTGGACATGAGGGTCTGCACCAGGTGAACAATAGGTTAACATGAGGGTCTGCACCAGGTGAACAAAACGTGAACAGGAGGGTCTGCACCAGGTAAACAATAGGTGAACATCAGGGTCGACACCAGGTGAACAATAGGTGAACATCAGGGTCAACACCAGGTGAACATGAGGGTCACCACCAGCTGACCAATAGGTGAACATGAGGGTCTGCATCAGGTGAACAATAGGTGAACATGAGGGTCTGCACCAGGTGAACAATAAGTGAACATGAGGGTCTGCACCAGGTGAACAATAGGTGAACATGAGGGTCTACACCAGGTGAACAATAGGTGAACATGAGGGTCTACACCAGGTGAACAATAGGTGAACATGAGGGTCAACACCAGGTGAACAATAGGTGAACATGAGGGTCTGCACCAGGTGAACAATAGGTGAACATGAGGGTCTACACCAGGTGAACAATAGGTGAACATGAGGGTCTGCACCAGGTGAACAATAGGTGAACATGAGGGTCAACACCAGGTGTACAATAGGTGAACATGAGGGTCAACACCAGCTGACTAATAGGTGAACATGAGGGTCTGCATCAGGTGAACAATAGGTGAACATGAGGGTCTGCACCAGGTGAACAATAAGTGAACATGAGGGTCTGCACCAG